GGCTCGCTCTCCGCCACCATCGAGGCCGTGCTGCAGGTGTACATCTTGAAGGCCATCGACGAGAGTCAGGAGTTGCGCCTGCCGCGCAAAATCCGACGGCTCGACATCGACCCCGCGACGCTGAAGAATAAGACAGGTATTGGTGATGTTCTAAAGGGGGGTTGCAGGGGTTGTAGGTGTCTCCGTTCCAAACCCAATCCGCCCTTTCATGCTGACCCACACTTTCAGAAGTCACGCTGCGCCTCGAGCTGGCCACCGGCATCCTGGTTGGGGATTGCGTGTACGCGAGCGGGGTAACTCTTCAGGAGCTGCCCCCCGCGCTCCGCGTCCAGTCCCTGCCAACTCCTGAGCTGCTGCCCCTTGGCGAGACAAGCTTCCAGACGCCGGAGGAGTTCGTACGGATGGCGGTGACCGTGGTTCTGATGGGCGCCCAGTACCAAGGCGCACCCCAGGTCACCTTTCTTAAGCTGCCCAACGGCAAGAAGACCGCTGCGCTCAGCACGATGGTGCTCAGCGCCACTCGGGCAGCCGGTTACGCGCAGGTACCCACTCATCTTTCGCCATCCAGCCCATGCCCGGTGCTCTCTGACGCAGTCTCTGTCCGTTTGTGCACGCAGGCGCACGTGGTGGCGCTGACCGCAGAGGGCACGAGCCCGCCAGGGTTCAGAGGAAAGGTTCCGCTGCTCGTCACGGGCCCCAACACCATGGTCGAGGCCATGCAAGTCCTCGACGTGGGACTTGCCGACGCCCTGCTCGTCTGGTCGACAGACCGCCTGACCGTCAAGAACAAGTGGACCGCTGGCGTGGACATCTGCATCCTGGCCCAGCAGCAGTGCTTGATCGGCGAGTGGCTGACGTTGCTCCGCCGCGCCCAGCCCTTGGACAAGAAGGACACCGTGGTGGTGCATCTGGACGGGGAGACAACGCTCCCTAGGCACGCAAGGCCAACCACCACTGTCGTCCTGGTCTCACGGTCAGGCCCCGGCAAGCTGCGGCAAAACATTCAAGATATCCAGAAGAAGGTGGAAGCTCTTCCCTACGCTGCCAAAACCAGGTACACCTTGCACTTTGCTGTTGCAGCGAACCCTTGCAGAACAACGAGCAGGCGGCTTCACTAAACCTCCTGCGAAAGGGATTTCAAAAGCCTTTGTAGCCTTTACCCGGTAGTTCAGCATTTCGAGATCTGCTTACATTGCTGTAGGCTGGTGTTCATCGAGGATGAGAAGGCCCCCGCCTTCGACGTGGACAAGGAGCTCCACCAGCTGGCGCGCGGTTTCCGCGTGAACGTGCTGAGGGAGGGAGGCGTGTGGAGCACACCAGCGCCCGCCATGCACGTCCAAAAGCCCTGCACCCTCAGCACCGCTCTGGCCGCAACCAGGTGCGAGCGAGCGAAGTCCCCTCGCCGCCCCGGTTAACGAGTGCACGCCTGACGAAGTGATGTTCCCCTTTGCAGACTGGGAGACATGCGACTACAGTTCGTGGGCGTGACACCGCTCAGCCGCCTCCTCGACGGCGGCCCGTCCCACCTGGACTACGTCGGCGTGCTAGAGAACGGCGCCGAGGCCGTGCGGGTGATGGGCGTGGGCCGCTGGCTGCCGGACGACCGGGTGCCACAGCTGGACCCGGTTCTGCGCTGGCCGGTCCCGGCGAGCTGGTCCACCCGGGACGCCGCCACCGTCCCCTTCGTGTACGCGCTCGTGTACCACGCGCTGCAGGTGCCGCGGCGAGTCCATCCTGGTGCACGAGGGCGCCTCCGCCGTCGGCCAGGCCGCCATCCGAGTGGCGTGTCAGCTGGGCTGCGCCCCGCTCTACACCACGGTGGCCAACAGCCGGGAGCGCGCCGCGCTGCTCGCCATGTTCCCCCAGCTGCAGCCCGCCCAGGTGCTGAGCTGCGGCGACGGCGGCTCCTTCGAGCCTCGCCTGCGCCTGCTGACCCGAGGCCGCGGGGTGCGCCTGGTCGTCAACACGCTCGGGGGCTCCGAGTTCCACGCGTCCCTCCGCTGCCTCGGATTCTTTAGCCGCCTTATCAACTTCTCCCGCGAGAACTTGCAGGAAGGGAACATAGGTAACCAAGCCGAAACATTAAGTCGTTACTCTTAGAAGTATAGTACTCTTTACTAGTACATATCTCACACGGCACACCTTTGTCTTTGGCCTTAGGTTCTCAGATGTTCCTCCTGGGTAGTGCTGTGTTCGGCTGCTCGGGCAGCGAGCTGTTCCACGCCACCGAGGACACCCGCCTCTTGGTGGTGGAGGCCGTCGCCAAGGGGATCCGCGACGGGGTTGTGCAGCCCATTGTGGGGGCCGAGGACTACAGCAGTCCCCGGAGGTTGGTACGACGTCCTACGAACCGTGAGGCATGACTTCCATCAGTGACAGAAATAAAAGAAAATATTCACTGCTCTTTTGTAGTATCGGTGACCTAAGGCGTGGGACGAAAGCGGTGGTTAAGGTGGACAGCATGGCGCTGGGAGCCAGCCGGGTGTGCGACCCCAACAAGTGCTACATCGTTGTCGGTGAGGGCCTCCGCCAGGGCAGGAGGACGGCCTGCCAGGCACGGTAGACGCAGTTTGACGACGTCTTGCTACCCGCAGGTTGCCAAGCCGTGGACGCGCTGTTCCTGGCCAGCCGGCTGGCCGTGCTGGGCGCGCGCCACATCCTGGCCGTCGTGGGATCGTCGCCGAGCTCTCCGCTCGTGCGGCAGAGGCAGCGCGCTCTCCGGCGGCAGCTCGGCGCTGGCCTGCAAGTGCTTCATGTGCGCGAGTGGACTCCAGCTGCGGCCGAGAGCGTGCTGAAGGTGGCGTCCAGTGTGGCTCCGGTGCACAGAGCCGTCGTGGTCGTCAAGGTGAGTGTGCCGCCTATCTTCTACACCGCGCAGCTTCTTGACAGTCGGTGAGCATGTTTGGTGTTTGCAGAGCGAGAACGAACAGGTGGCGGCCGCGGTTTTGGGCAGCGCCCTCCAGCCTTCTGTGGGTCTTGTGTTGCTCGCCGACCGAGAGTGTCTGGCAGCACCCCTAGTTGCCCTGGCCGAGCAGCGTCAGTCGCTCGGATGGCCCACCAGCTGTCTAGCCGCCAGCCTCGGCGAGGCCTCGAAGCGCCTCGGGGACCTGCTCCACAACTCGTCCCTCGAGGTCCTGCCCTCGGCCATCGCGGATGAGGACGCTGGGACGGACAAGGACTTGTTCCGGTTGCTAACGGTCGACGCCCTGACAACGCTCAGCAGCGCCGGCAACCAGCGCTCGCGGTGGCCGCGGATCGTAGAGCTGACCTCGCTGGGCCCGGCGTCGCA